GTTGGAAAAATTGCAGAAGCTTCGTATTTTTGGTGGCTTCGCTGTAGGGTGTTCGAAAGTTGTTGGGTGCACGTAGTTCAAGGTAATTTCGCGATAAAACCTGACTGCAGTACCTTTTTCGAGTTTTTGTTTTTAGTATTTTTGTTTTGGTCATATCTCACTCATTTTAGCTCGGTTCTGGGTGATTCGAAGTCCCACATGTTGAGAATTGTCGTGACTTCGTCGTAGAGTGTTCAAGGAGTGCTGGGCACTTTTCGATTCTTGTTTATTTCGAGTTTAGACTGATGCTGTAGGGTTTCTTTTAGTTGATTAAAGTGTGGTTTCTTGCTTGTTGGTTTTTATTGTGTTTTGAGCCTCGAATTATGTTCCATTTTGGAACACAAGTTTGGGGTGTTGTTTAGGATCTCTTGACGGAGTTAAATTCGGACAGTTTGGTGCGGGTCCCACGATTCTCATTTTGACTCCAAAATTGACCCGTCTCCGTTTGTTGTAATTTTGGTGTCTAAATGACCGTAGTAACATTGTGATTCTATTTTTGATAGCGGGGCAGCGTTTCTAGACTGTTCGGAAAGGGAAAAGTCCGGTAAAGTGATTTGGAGAGCGCGCGATCGGCCTTAAGGTAGGCTACGGCTTCCTTTCTTTTAGATTGAGCTTAATTGTGTAAAAGCATGTCGATTGTAGTGAATTGGGAGTGGGTACCAGTTTACTACCTTATTTTGATTAGATACCTCATGTTAGGATCGATTGGTCACATTTCGGGTATAGTATCATGTTAACCGGTTTAGTAGAGTTGCATGCTTATGTGTTAAATGTTATTGTATGCTTGCATGCTATGTATTGCATGCCTTGTTCATCCTTAACCGTAAACATGATGTCCTTAGTCTAGGTTAGGCTAGCTTTGCCTTAGACTTATGACCCGTGTGGGCTGGATAGCCTTGACTTTCTGCCGACGTCGTTCGGATGACTTAGCTCCTTGTAGACTGGAATAGCAGACTTGAGTCTGATAGTTTGAGCCTTAGATTAGGCGTTATCGCTACTTGCTGCACTTCTGTATGTTCTCCCTCTTATTCTGCGGTTCCGACGCATTTTTGAAGGTTTGGTGCATCACTCGAGGCATGGGATTGAGATAGTATAGGTTTGGAGCCTTTTATGTGATATCTTAGAGTGGACAGCGTTCCACGGTGGTTGTTGTTGGATTGAATCCTATTGAAGATACCATCACCCCCGGGGTCGTTCTTTCTAGCTGGGCTGGGAACGTATCGCTGGCTGGGTAGACTCGGTGATATTAGCGATCGCCCCTGGGCCTCTCTTTCTAGCTGGGCTGGGAGTGTGCTGCTGGCTGGGTGTCCCCGGGTCGCTCTTTCTAGCTGGGCTGGGAGCTGACTGCATGGTAGGACGACTCGCGATATCTACCTCACTCACGGGTCCCTCTTTCTAGCTGGGCTGGGAGTGGACTGTTTGGTTGGGTGCCCCCTAGGGTCACTCTTTCTAGCTGGGCTGGGAGTGTACTGCTGGCTGGGTGGGGTCTGATGGATTATCTTAGTTACTTTGGGCTGGGAGCCCGGTTTTCTTCTTTCTCAGTAGACTTAGCCTTGCTGTGTACCTGTCGGGCTTATGGGGGTCCGTTCAGGTTTTATTTGAACTTGCGCACGAGTGTACCTTCTGGGCTTTTGGGGGTCCAGTTAGGTTTAGTTTAGTTGTACTTAGTTTTTTTCTGGTATGCTCGTGTGCTTTCTTTTCTTATTCGCTTTGACCTCTCTGTGTCTTGATTCTGTCATTTCTTATTGTTTTTACCCTTTTTGCTCAGTCGACCTATGATACCTACTGAGTACATGTTGTGTTGGTACTCATGCTACGCTCTGCATCTATTTTGTGATGCAGGTCCCAGTACCAGTTACTAGCGGTGATTAGTTCCAGCCTTCTTTTGCAGCTGTGATTCGGAGACGAGGGTTGAGCTACTTTGACGTTTTTGGGGTTTGTTCTGTCTCCTTCTTTTGTTTTTAGCTAGTCTTGTTGCCTTTGAGACACGCTCTGTTGTGGTCCACTTTGGGACTTGTACTCTTTATTAGTATAGCTCTGTACTAGTGACTTCCAGGTTCTGGGAGGGTATTTCTGTATATATTTATTTTGGGTTGCTTCCGCCTTGTTATTCTGGTTTAGATTATTATTTTCGCTAGTTTTTGCCCTTTCACTCATTGCTTGATGTTCTGGGTTACGGGTTGGCTTACCTACTGGTAGGGTATAGTAGGTGCCATCATGACTCGAGAATGTGGTATGATAACGGTGAGTATATGGGATTTGTGGGGGTGAGTTATTTTCTTATTTTTAGTTTTAGTTTTATTTTACTTTTAAAAAAATAATAATTAACTATACATATAAATAATAAATTATAATAAAATATCAACTAATTAAAGCAATATTAAAAATTATATTTTATTATTGGTACAAAATAATAATAAAACTAACAGCAAAAATAGCCCGCAAAAGCACATAACTGAAATTTAAAACTCCATCCCTTCATATAATTCTTAGGCCCAAAATAAAAACTGATATATATATTTATTTATTTATTTATTTATTCTAACAATCTTTGACTCATTCCAGCATGATATTAAAGCAAATCAAAATCACACGCTACTTTGGTTTAATCAGAATTATTAATAATGTAAAATATTTTTAAAAAAAAGATTATAATCAAAGAAAATATTTTTTAAATGTCCAACGAGTTTCTTTTTTAAATGTCCAACAAGTTTAATATATTGAAAATATCTTTTCTTTTTTGTTATTTTCAAATCTTTTAAAATAAACTTACTAAAATAAGACAAAAATCAAAATATCTAACTTAACCTAAAATAAATATTTAAGGAATAAAAACAAGTGTAAAGTCTTATGCTCGGTCAAAAATCACGTGTCTATATTAGAGCCGTCAATATGGGCTAGGCCCGTTGGGCCGGCCTGGCCTAACCCGGGATTTAATAGGGCTGGACTAAGATTTTTGGAGCCCATTTAAGAAAAGGGCTTTTTAGCCCAGCCTGAATAAGCCTGCTGATTTGTGGGGCTTGAGAAATATAGGTAGGGCCGGCCCGTGGGCCAAATAAAAATAATTTTAAAAATATAATATAATATTAAAATTTAAAATTAAA